AGCTAACATCCATTTATGGCTTTAACTTACAATTTTGTTATTAGATTCATTACTAAAATATCCATCTAATAGAGTAGCAAGTCGCTTAAAAAATTAAATTAACTAAAGTACCTACAATTTAATGTAATCTGGGTGCACGTTGCACGTTCTTTATCGATCGCAGTTGGAAAGTGACACGACATAAGTATTCATAACTAGCTAGCTCGGCTAAAAATAAACTAATTACAAATAGAAAATCGATAACAATTCAAAGGTAAGTATTTTATTTCTTTATGGATAAAACCACCATTAGAGTACCTATGTATGTAAGTACCTCGTATTTCTAATAAGGTCCTTATTCTTTTTGAGGAAGATGTTTTCCTAACATTTGTGTATTAAAGACGTAGACATTTCATTCAACTTCAAAAACATTACTTAAGTCGTTAACTGGTCACAGGGATTATCGCAGTGTTTATTCAGAGATGTAAATTACAATAAAGTGAACAGTACATTTAGAATTGCGCCCTCCAAGACGCGTATGGGAGAACATTAATTGTCTCGATTAAAACTTGTTAATACCTTCCTGCGGTCACTGACTGGGTTATTAGACAAAACTTGTGTAGGCGAATGTACCCTACGACCTTATATTGATTTAATAGACTTTAATTCCGACTATAGGGCTCGAAAAACGATGTAGTACAAGAATTATTAATTAGCCCTTAAAATACCAATCGTAAAATTGTTTCGCGGCATTGGGAGATTTTCAGACGGCGCTTATACAACGACGCTTAGGTAAATGTCAGCAGACGCGTCGCTTCGATTTAAGCCAGCAATGTACACGGTGACGTATGAGATAGTGCTGTAGACAGTCAGATTCTAATTCTGTACCGGTGACGTTGTGTTCGGTCGAAACAATCGAAAGTTATTCCGAGTGCTAAACCGACACACGTGACTCGGTATGCCGCGTTCTATTCGAAACACCGATTTGCGGAAGTCGATTAGAAATATATCAATTAAATTTCAGGAAAAATCGATATAATTTTTATGTATATTCAAGTCAGTATTTATTTGACACGCAATATAGTTTCTGTATCATTTCAATCAATAGTTATTTATATTCAATAAAACTATACTACAACTACCTACATTTGAATTAAAAGATCGTATGGATATTACAGTAGCCACTTAATTTATGGTTTGGTGAAAATAAATAAAATGTCTAAAGTGAACTAGAACATATGACTTGTTTTGGTCCTAAAAATGTTGATTAAATTTTGAATTATATGAAAAATAGATCATCTGTTTAAATACATATTATATTCTTTCCATGCAGGTACTTATAACTTTCAAGAAGCCTATTGAATATCAAAATTAGTGATTAAATGGTTTCAGGTGTTAAAAAATAAATACAGATAATGTATTTAAATTAAGTTTATTTACCCTAACTTCCAGAAATGTTTATGGAACTATATGTGTTCTAAATAATTCTGCTATAGTTGCCTCATTTTAAAATAAACTAATCAAATTACTGACTGGATTACTACTAAGTAAATGTTTTATTGATCATAACAGAAACCTAACATGATTTAAAAGTTTAAGTTATCATTACCTGAAAAAGAACTAGAAGGTATAGTTAGTTAAAGTATTTTCGTAATTTGCAGGTAGTTAACTACATAGTTACAAAACAGTATGAATGCCATATTATTTGTACCAAAATATGATTGAACTTCAGCTAGCAATTTATTACTTACTATTAACAATTTATTTAAGATACTTCGAACAGAGAAACAACTAGTTGTTGGGGATACTGCAAATATAATATCGAATATATCGCATATCTGATAAATGTAGCCAATTTTAAAGTACCTAATGCAAAATTTTGTACTATGTTCTAAGACTTTAACGGAGTGCGTTGGATTCCAACTGGAATCTTAATCCTAACTTTTAACAACTTGCTGATACACATTTTTTTAAGCTACCTACTATAGTAAAATGTATATTCTTGAATTTCCAACTTTGAGTTTATAATTGAATAAATAGCTGTTGTAACAATATGTATGTTTAACAGAAAATTCCAAATGCATACCTAGTGTGGTATTAAGTTACAACTCTAAACTCAGCGCTATCGGATCCATGTAACCACATGACTCACATACTTAATTAAAACTTTGAGCTGACAGTCTTATAAAAAAGTTCAGTTTAATAAAAAAAGTATTTATATAATAACATCACCCCATAGTAAAATAATTGACTTCTTGATGTCAAGGTGCATATCTCTATACTCTTTCAAAGAACAAAAGGTGCCATCTTGTTGTTCTTATATATTTTAAAATAATTAAATCTTTGAGTACCGTCATTATAGACACAATTAAAGAACAATAGGTTGCGGTCACCAGTGACCACTCGGTGTTTGACAGTTTAAACAAGTAAATGACTTCAGGAAAATATTCCCTTAGCTTCCTACAGGAATGACCAGGATACATGCAAATGCTTTGTCTCACTCTATGAAAAAGTTTTATGAATTATGAATATGCATAAACACTCAAAGCAGTTGCTGTGATAGGAATTTTACACTTCTTTATAGTTATATATAAGAGATATATAAGAGTAGTAATGATATAGAATCATGAATTTGATTTATTTCGAGAGGGAGAAATGTCTAATCAGTTCTTTTATCATGAGAACAAATCACAAATATTAAACCAAATGTTTATGTTCTAACATATTAACTAACCCATAACAAATTGTAAGCGAACTAATGCATTTAAAAAGTTGTGTGCAAATGCTCAACTTTTAACTGATTTTGCTATAGTATTGCACACTATAGCCTAAAAAGTAAATTTTATTCTTTAGGGTATATGAGCAGACTTAATGCTTGGGCATTACTAATAATCAGTTTCTTTAGTAAACTACTTGAGTAGGCTGCGCGACATCGCCACGACCGCGCACGCTGCTCATGAGGAAGAACCGCTCTGTAGTTCGAAACTAGTAGATCTTTTCTGAGTATTGTCATGTGAGTAACCTGCGATTTTTTAGTTAATTTATTTGACAAAAATTGCATTTCATACCTATTCCATGTTTTTTGATAAAAATGTAAGTACTCCACTGGTAATTTAAAATCATATATGAAGATCAGCTTTAGTCATGTATCTACATGATGCATTTTCCTAATAAAGCCACACATGACAAAACATAAATGTAAGTGTTGCAATATAATAATAGGATACTGTGTATAAAATGGTGATCTGAATGAAAGGAAATTTTAACTTCTTTACATTTAACACATACTGGTAATCATACTTACTTATTATTAACCCATTAACTCGTCGAGTACCGGTTTTATAGACACAATTAAAGAACAATAGGTCGCGGTCACCGGTGACCGCTCGGTGTTTGACAGATTAAAGGTCAAATAAAAAGTAGCAATATTTTTTTTAATCATGTTTATTTTCGTAATCAACTGAGAGTATAAGAACAGTAAATGCGAGAAAACAATGGAAAATAGTATTTTTCATGATAATTCAGGGGTGTACTCAATTGAGTACACTGACCACCTAAGTATGAAAATTTTCAAAACACGATATTTCTACATAAAGTGTTTTAGCACTTTTTACATTTCCAACGTAGGTACTCTTGAATGACAAAAGATACATCGTAGTAGCTTTTAAATTTTTAGTGCATAGTGTCCAACTCCATTTTGCAGGATTGCACATTTCCGCCACGTAGGGTTTGATTTTGAAGTAGATTGGCGGGCAATGTAAATAATGTGAAAAAAAATATCGCACTACCCTCATATAATTTATCAATATAGTTAGACAATTTAACTCGTCGAGTACCGGTTTTATAGACACAATTAAAGAACAATAGGTCGCGGTCACCGGTGACCGCTTGGTGTTTGACAGTTTAATAAGGAATTAAGATAATAGGGTTACCCTACAAAAATATAAGAGATATTAAGTTTATGCGTAGAATTTTAGGTGTACTCATATGAGTACAGTGACTTTTAATGGGTTAACATAGTGTCAATATTGTATGCATTGCTAACATGTAGGTATGTTTTTAGAATAAATGATCCTAACTAACTATAAGTTTAGTGTAAACAATCTAAGATCCCACAAATGTAGTAATTATACAGTATTAAAAACTTTTAAAAAGATTTTGTGTTCCTGAACATTTTACAGACCCGTATTCCAGGAACCTAACTCTGTTTCTTTATTGTAGGTAGTTTCATGTCATAACAGAAAACAATTCAATTAGGTTATGTTATGACAGATACACCAAAAATTGTGTCTGAATAATTTTTAGTGAAAATATATTATAAAACACATAGCTATAATAAAATTATCATAGATATTTGTAAGATAACAATGTTGTATGATACTAATACTACAGAACAGTAACAAGCACTTTCAAATTAATGATTGTTTGTTTAATTCTCATCTAAATACTCATAGAACATTATGACCTATCGATTTTGGTTGTAATATATATTAACTCGTCGAGTACCGGTTTTATAGACACAATTAAAGAACAATAGGTCGCGGTCACCGGTGACCGCTTGGTGTTTGACAGATTAAGTACTAAGCTAAACTATGATTCTAGATTATGTTTTTAACCCAATATAGTTAAATTATTGTAGCTAGTTGGTGCTATAACTGCTACATGGATGTACAAACAATTGCTTTGGATCGAGTTACTTGTCTTAATCACACACTAAACCTCATACAAATTGTTTGAAAATATCTGCACAGTTGGCATCAAAGCAACAAACCAGATTGACAACAGAATTCTGCTCAATTAAAAGTACTTCAAGCACATGCTATTGAATCTGAAGTACCAAAACAGACTCCAACAAGGCAATGACTAAATAGTAGACCAACAAAACATCTAGGAATTGAGGACTGAAGTTGACTTTTTGAACATTTGGACAATAATTTCCCTGATTTCAATAGAGATGACTTTGAATGAGTGTTATGTAAAAGAGATGAGGAAATGTTAGCGGTGTACACCAGCTAGCTTACCTGATGGAGAGCAGTGAGGCCGTCAACGTTGGCAGTGTTGATGTCGGCGCCTCTTTTCAACAGTCTCTGCACCTCATCCTTGTCGCCTGCCGTACAAGCCGCCAAAAACACTATCCCAGATGAAAATTGAATTCTCGAGGCCCGACGCGGCGTCGGGGACTGCTTGTTCGTGTCCGACTCTTCCCATCTCTTCAACTGCTCCGCTCTCTTGAACAACGCTGACGAAGACCTATTATCCGTCATTTTGACTCTCGGCAAACCACTTATCACTCAATATGGTCCATGCAAACACTTTTCACGGGGCATAGATTGTGTTTTTACTGCATACAGTACACAAACGCCGAGTCCATAACTTAATTGCCAAAAAAGGAAACATGAAAGAGGAAACGTTCCAGGGAGATAGATACTAAGAAGCATTCACACGACCATTGTTCCACACACTTGTTGAATAATTCGAATTGCACATCCGGACTTTAATTCTATATACATGACATAACCAATAAGCTAGACATTTAGCGTGGCAGCCATTACGAGAATAAATTTAAACAGCCTACTAAAGTACCTACATACCGAATGCAAAAAGAAAAACTAGGCAGCGAATGAGAATGACGGAAGAAGAAAACGCCTAGCGCCACCTAGCACAACAATGGGACTGAGTTGCCATAAGCCAAAAATAATTATACCGCAAGACTAAAAGTGTAATCGAAAACGTATTGCGATGAAATTCTCGTTTATTCTGTTGCATCGAGTGAGGACACCAATTTCAAATTAATACGCGGTTTTTTAAATAAACGTTCGAGTTCAAAAATATTTTACCAGTTTAGCTCGATACTAAAATACAACGATGTTAGCAGAAATAAAAAGAAACGTAATGAACAATTAGTTGGTGACGAAATAACTAGAAAAACAAAACATTGTTCACTTTACATTTTTAATTTTATTAATAACCAAACCTTTATTCATTCCTTTATGTAAGAAATATCTTTTCATATAGTGTACCACGTAATATTTCTTAAAAAAGTTGCATTCATAAAATTATTTTCACGTTTTAAACATTTCGTGGGTCTATAAAATTTTGATGTGACGATGTTACTATTTTTTTACATTTGTACATACATTAAAAATTAATATCATAAAGATCAACGAATGCTTTACATTCATATAGCGATTATATTCGTTTTTATTGTTCGTAAAATCATACTAAGTATTCCTTATCGTATGCAAGATAAAGAATACTTTTTTTTTCTGAAGTTATAGTGGATATCTAAATATATTGTGATTTTTAATAATAAGAAATGCGTCATATTATGCTGCAAACATTTTTTCAAAGCATTTTTGTAAATAATTTTACGATGAACTTTTTTGAAGATTGGTCGTACATAACCCTATTACTAAAATACCAAAATAAAAGTTTTGTAAAACGAATTTCCAAAATTGATTAGAATTATGGTAAAATTATTTCATACAAAAATATATAACTATCCTCTGTGATGTTTGCGTGTACATAAATTATTAAATAAATCCACGTTACTGCAAATAACGCTTTCTATTTCTTTATATTATTATGTTACGCATCTTCTAAAACTATTTCTACAATTAAAGGCATATTATCGTATGATATATTTTTGAATGAAAGGATTTCGATCGCAAATCTGATGACGTTTGAATAGTCGTAGAACAGTAGTTTTTGTATATGTCCTTCGAGGCAGTTGGTGCATAAAAATAAACCTATAAAGAAAAAAAGACTATTGTTGGCCTCCTCGCAAAGTTATCATCGAAAATCTAATTTCCTTTTGATTTTCTTACCATGTGGCTTAATGTTAAGTTCTTCTATGTTCCTGTTTATCAAAAACGTGTGAACATTTCAATGTGCATATTTTCTGCGTGTAAGTCTAAGTAACCCGGTGCCACAATTTTTCAATTTTTTCAACTCCTTAAGTAGATATGATATGTGATGAAAATAACTTAAAAGAAACAAACATCAAAGCAAATGACAAAATTATACTAATAATATAACATATATATTATACTAATTATAGTTTTTTAAATACGATAATCTAGACCTGCCCTATATTTTGACAATAAAATGACGTTTCATTCGTCTGTAACTTTATAGAGAATATCAGTTGAACTCATGAGACTAGTTTTGAAAGGGCAACATTGAAATTTAAAAGTAATAAAAGTTTATATTATTTCTACAATGCATCTCAAAACCTAGTAAAAATAATATGATAAATTATAATAAAATACAGTCATGTCCTTTTTATACTTTTATCTTTTTGTTTTGCGATTGAAGTAAATGATCAAAAAGTTTTGTGGCAAAGAGAACAAACATCCTAGTTTTTTTCGCAGCGCTAGCGGGCTCTGGTGTACAGAATCAGTACCAGTAGTTGGCGATAGCGAGTCGGAGTCAGAAATTATTCAAAATTCAAGATGGCCATGTGTCACGATGGTTTCTTGAATTGGAATAGTTAACTTTATTTGTTTTGTGTGAAAAAAGTGCTTTGCCATGATGGCTGACTTAAGTGTTGATATTTCAAAGTTACCGGACGAGATAAGAGATAAATTAGCGGAGTTAGACTTGGAGTTATCAGAAGGTAAGAATGCAGTAAGTCTGCGTTATTCGTAGATCGATAATTTGCTAATTTAGATTATTTTTTTTGTAAATTAGCTTTAATTTATTTATTCCTTAGTACTTTCTGGATTTTATTTTAATATTTTTTTACATAGTTTTGTGCTTAAAATAAGTTTTTTTGGCACAGTTTGCCAGCTGATGTCTTCGGTAAATAAAGTATGGGAATGAGTTTACAGTGGTTGATTTTGATATGTTGTGATAAAGTTATGTGTGTTAGGTGTTCACGCTCGAATAGATACTTTGTCACACATGGCAAACTAAGGAATGCATCATACAGCACGAGAAGACGACGCTTCTTAGAATACGCGTTACTTACCACCAACTTTGTATCGTACTTTTGTATTGGCGAGAACAAGTCTGTCAGGTCTCGCCTTGCGTTTTACCCCTTCAGACGAGTCGTTTCTGCCTCTATTATCCGCCTAAAACTAGTATAAAACTATATTTTTGAACTTTTAAAACTGAATAAATTTCGACTCTCTTGTTGGAAAAACCGTTTGTTTTTTTCTCGTAGTTAATGAGAGTACGTACCTACTCATTTATCGCCCAATACGACGATCTACTCATTGTCAGTTTCTTTGTGACCAAATCATCCCAACTGTGGTCAAGTTAGTATATGAATAAATTACTCATATCCTTTAGAAGCTTATCCACTCAATTTAGTGTTATCATTTTCAAGTGCAGGAAGTGAGAGGTCTCACGATTGTACTGATTTTAGGTTATTGTTTCTTAGATTATAAAAAAATAAAAGTCAGTTTTTTGCAATTTCTGAATATTTTAAAAAACTTGCTAGTATATTAATAATTAATTTAAAACATATATTGTCTAGTGAGTAATTCTTATAAGATACACATACAAAGGTTGGGTGTTCTTCTAAGAAAATAACTAAAAGGCTACTCAATTTAGAAATAAGACCTTAGAAGAAAAAATACAAGTTAAGTATTTTAAAGAACTTGTTTCTGGATCATTCTTTATGTGATTTCAATAACATAAGTAGATGTATTATAAATAATAGCACAGACTATCATCTATATCATATATATTAACATCACTTGGTAGTCTTGACTCCGTTCAAAATGGTTATTTCTACATTACATACATCTTCCATGACATTATTTTTATTAAATAGATGAAGACAATATATTCCCCAAAATTAAAAAAATAGGCATACAATGTTCTGAAACAAATACAGGGCAATTAAATATAATGCAACATATAATATAATTTTAACATGATAATACTATCGATGGATAATCAATAGCTAAATCAATAAAATAATGTACATAATAAAATCAATTACTTTTATCAGATAGCTGCAACAATACAATTATTATATACCTATTATTTGATGATTATTAAATTGTGTTTAAATTATAAATCATATATTAATTACGAAATTGTCGTCATTAAACTGTCAAACACCAAGCGGTCACCGGTGACCGCGACCCATTGTTCTTTAATTGTGTCTATAAAACCGGTACTCGACGAGTTAAAATGGATCTGTAATTAATAGAATTACAACACACAATTTCAAATGGTATTTCTTCTTACCTAGAGGTATACAAAGTGGTCGCGGTCGCGCCTACTAACGACAATGGAATAATTACGAGCCCCTAAACTATTAATCGCCAATAAGCAGTTCGAAAATGATTTTGAATTCCTCGATTTCGGTGCTTATTTATTAGTTAGGTATCTAGAATTATGGCCGAAATGCCTGTAGCTAAGAAAATACCCACATTGAATAAATATATTAGGCGTGATTGGAAAATAACGAGAACAGTCCGATTTATTATTAAAATTAAAAGTTAACCTTTAATTAATATTGGATTTTCTCTTAATCATATTTAAAAAATACGAAAAAAATGCATTAGGTACTTGTGTCGCGGGCGGGCTTTCGACTCACGCAACGCACTAAAAATATCTTGATCGATATCGATATTATACATATCTGATACAAGAATAGTCATTGCACAAATCGAAAACATTTTTCTATTTGAACAATCCCCGATTTATGTGCTCACTTTCAGTTTCGTTTGATTTTTATTGTTCTGTATTTTTTATTGTTTTATCCTGTTTCACAGCACGGGTAGTCAAAAGCGTTCCCGAATTTTGCGTTCATTTTCCCAGTCGTTGGTTTGAAACCTATTGCAACTTTTGATTAAAGTAATTAACGTTGAACGCGGAACTCGTGATCGTTCTGACCACTTGGATTTAATGTCCATCACATATTATTTATTACATTTTTATTTTAACTTGTAATGAAAAACAAGCAATAATAATTATGTAATAAATGATAAGTTGACGTGCAAGCATAGCAGCGCAATGCGATTGTTGCATAATATTATGTTTGTTTATTTTTTTACTGCTTTACTAAAATGTTTGTTTTATGAGCGTGATTTGTGTATGCAGCTGCGAATTTTTTTGATTATTGTTTTAATGTTCCATCTCGTTTTCTTCTTCATCAATCATAATTTACATTTGTAATATGTATAATACATTAAGGTTTTTCAAATAATAATAATGTAATGATATAAAAATAACACACTATAACACATTATAAACAATTTATTAACATATTATGTATTTTGCATTTGACACGCATGCGTGTTTCCCATACGATATTGCGCAACATGCGTTATAAGTATGGCGCAACTTGAATTTACCCGCTTGCGGGGATAATCCGTGTGTGTGGCACGTATAAAATATAAAATCCTCATACCTACCTAAAATAATCTTTTATTAAATTTGTTTGTTCATTGTACTTTTTCAGAGACTTACATATATAATATAACCCAATCCACGACTGTAATCCCGTTAATTAACCGGCACTTACATATTAACCGCACTGCATTTTAATTTAAAAGCTTTGTTCATTAGCCCGATGTAATGCGTTTCCACATTATGAGTTTCCTTCCCACCTATTAGCGAGAGCCTCCGTGCAACCATAAGTAATAATGCACCTATGGGAGCTAAACATTGTAACTATTACTGGACGGGACTGTTCTCTGAATCAAACTAAAGTCATAGATTTAAAATTACGCTTTATGACAATATTTACTTGATAAATTACCTCAACGTCTATTTAATGTTGGTTCAGATACGTAAAATAAAATGGTAAGCGTAAAACCGAGGTTAATATGAAAATAAACGTAGGTATATTCTAATCTAGATATGAGGCAACCTTTAATCATATCCACATCGCATGGGATTGCACTGACACTGTTGCTTAACTAAGTCTTAGCTAAAGTAGGTATTATTTAGTAGTAAACGGTAACATAATACCCTGACAGGTGGCGACGAAGGCGACTCGTTAAATAATTCAATCGGGACCACGAGCGTGAGCATGTACATACACAATTACATTGCTAAGTTCTCGTATTGTAATATTATACGCTTATTAATAACTGATCTCTATCTTTTCGAATATTATTTCAAAATCAACCTCTTTACTCAATATATCCACGAAAGCATATTTGTTCTTATCCACCAGCTAACTCTCTGGTAAATTCTGCCAAGTATTTGTATTATTTGAATACTTTGACTTTATGTAAGTGTATTACTCAAACAATAATGTTTTCAATGGACGTTTGCTGTACCTACAATGTTATTGTTTGACTTGAAGTAAAAAATATAATTTCAAAGCGATCGCTCGATTTCATTGGATTTTCCGGACCGGTATATGAAAAAGGGTATTACGCGTTTCGCTTTTAAAGTGAACCGCTGATACGAACAAATACAATCAGATTAATGGTCCGGTAGGTAAAGAAAACATCACAATAACCACGTATAAAGTTACGTGTTTCATAATAACTACGATACTTCGGAAAACAAGGGCAATAAATACTATGAATGAAACGGAAACGGATGATGCAAAATAAACATTAACTGTACCTACTTCGGCACATATTTATGAACAAAATTTATTATTCTATGCGATTGCGATTTGTACCTTGAATTATTTTATGATTGTTAACGGTGAAGGATTATTACTTAATAATTTCAATTATCTAATATTATCTTTGTGCACATTAATGTGTCGATATTAAATCCTACAACATTTTATAACAAACTGTCGGTACTGAACGTCTCTAACGGTACACAATTAAATACCTTAACGACTTGATGTATCACATAGAATATCATAACTTTTTGCACATTATATCTTCGTATTCTGTGCTATTGTTCAACTAAGAGACGCGCGTGCGCAGGCACTTACGACCTCTTACTTTCCGCTGGTATGACGCATCACCTAACCCGTTTTGTCGTCATGACTCGCTCTGACTAAGCCGAGCTGCGGTCAGTACTACGCTTCTTAAATATAAAATAAAATTATTTTGCAAGTTATTCTAGAAAATTCTGTTTATGGTATATTTTTTACTGTTTGTTTGGTAGTAATACGGACAGCTCTACGTTATAAGTCAAAATTTTCAAATCGCTTTCAATTATTGTAAATTTTAACATCATAATTACTTAAAATTGGCTCAGTCGACAAAACTCAACAAACTCCAGTCCAATATTAAATCTCACGTGGTACTGCGTAGCGCACAGTAGGAACGGCAAAACAGTTTTTCAACAATACCTTTCCACCCTTTGAAAATCCTGGAATTTGAGAGCAAATAAAAAAGGAAGACAAAAAGACAGATAAAACATTCCGCACTGTCGAACGGAACGAATTGTATGAACCCAGCCACGTTGTTGGTATGTGAGTACGAGTGGCTCCATGGCGACTATCGGTGACCTGTGCGAGTCGACCGTTTGTGCGTTTCTCTCTGAAAGACTCAATAAAGTCACAATACGGTGCAAATACTTGACTCTTTGGAAAATTGACTTTTAGTACGACTATTTTGTAATTTTTTTTCAGTATTACTTAACATCACGCCTCTTATCCCCGAAGGTGTAGGCATGAGCATTTTTCAGTATTCTAGTAGGTATATTGGTTTACTATATTGTTGACCTGTTTTAAAG